GGGTTACCATGAATCTGAATCCAATTAAGGGCAACACGTTTGGATTTATGCTTTGTTTTGTTTTATTTTCTCCTTAAGAGTAAAAAAAAACTTCCCAGAAGCCTTCAGCAAACCTCTCATTGGCCAGAACTGGGTCACCTGTCAATTCCCAAACCAATCACTGATGGAAGATTGAAGTTATCCTTAAATCAATAGCTTTATCCCTTTCCACTGAGATCAGTTCCCCAAGAATATTGCTGTAATTCTGTGGAGAAGGGTAGAATGTTTAGGAGTTAATCACAATGTGCATTCCAAGTGCTAAGGCTTTATTGCATGAATTAAGTGCTAAGTCTTAATTGCATGGTACACAGCTAGTCAGGGATACGAAGAGTAAGTAGTATACGTAGTATACGTCTTCCATAAGACAAATCGACTGGAGCATAAAGTGATTCATTTTAGAGCGTTCTTCTCAAACCAAAGCCCTCCAGTGCTTGCAATCTGGTTCTGACACACAAGAAAACAAAAATAGATTTTTAAAATTTTTAAACTGCCTCGTAAGATGATGAGTTATGTAGTAGAGAGATGATTCATGTTTCAAAACTTTACAGAAAGGAGAGATGTTGCAACATAAAGTCACTAGAGAATATCCCCATGGTGGAGGGGAACTTGAGCTGGCATTTGAAGGATAAGGAATATTTGTTGGCAATTTCCTCTGACTCTAATCATTGAAGTAGCTGAACTAAACCAACTTGGATTCATTATCTAGGAAAAATCTTCAGAGGAGCTGAATTTATGAAGACTGCATTTTGCAGATGCTATGATTTTGGACTATTCTCAAGTACAGTTGTACAATTCTAGAAATTGATGTTTGATTTTGTTTTGTTTTGCCAGTCACCTTTAAGACATTTTCCAAAGCTGAACCTGCAAACAATTTTTAAATCTCTACAAAATCATGGCCCTCCTTGATATTTTTTTTTTTATATATTTTATAAGCACGAAATAGTTTTTGTCAATTATCTTGCTCTTCTTAATCACATACAAATTTTAAACTAGCTACTAACTACTTACAAGGAGCTCTGGTAACGTAGTGGTTACAAATCAGGCTGCTAACCTTAAGGTCAGCAGTTTGAAACTACCAGCCACTCTGCGAGAGAAAGATGAGGCTTTCTGCTCCTATAAAGATTTACAGCCTCGGAAACCCTGTACAGGGTTGCCATGGGTCGGAACCAACTCCACGGCGCATAACAACAACAAAACTAACTATTTACAGTCTTTTTTCCCCTCCTACTGGCAATTTACTTAGGCCAGTATCATCTCTAATTAGGGGAACATGGAAAAAAAGGAAATCCTACAATGAAAATGTCATATGCCTTACAGTTAAAAGTCATCCTCAGACCAATAAGTAATCCTCAAAAATAAAAACTTGGCAAACAGAGGACTAGACCCTCTCCTGGAAGACCTATTACTAGAGTCATATCAGTTTATTGGTCTGAAATCCCCGCATTTTTTGATTAGGACACACATACACACACAAAGGGAGGATATCCCCCAATTAATGTTGGTAGGGATTTTTTTTTGCCCCCACTATTTCCATTCCTGCATCTTTCTAACCTTCCCAGAGGGATGTGAGGTTTCTGGCAAGTATTTTGGCAACCACTAACAAGTAGGAATGTGGGTGAGTTCCTAACAGCTGCCCAAATTCTCCCTTACCCACTTTCCACTAGAAGTCTTCCTTTCCACTAGAACAACCGGAAAACCGTAAGCTGGGGAAGGGCTGTGTGGTGCTGTAGGATAAGCACTGGGCTGCCAACTGCCACGTCAGCAGTTCAAACGCACCATACAGGGTTGCTTATGAGTCGGAACCGACTTGATGGATTTACAACAACATATCTCTGTCAGGTCCCTGGGTGGTATAGCTAAAAGGATCAACTGCTGACCAAAAGTTGGTGCTTTGAGTTCACCCAACAGTGCCTCAAAAGACATGTCTGGCAGTCTATATCAAAAAAATGAGTCATAGAAAACCCTATGGAGCATAGTTCTGCTCTGTCACACGTGGGGCCACCATGAAAGAAAGTTCTAGGTCAGCCTTCTGTTTGTGAACCTGTTACTGTTGTTGCTAAGTGCCACCGAGTCAATTCTGACTCATAGCAACCCTGTATAGTGTTTCTGAGCAGTGGCGGGTAGGTTTGAACCACTGGCGTTGTAATTCAAACTGACTTGCAGTCCAGTCCTTGCTTTATCCTACAGCACCACACAAGGACTCTTGTTTGTAAACATGCGGATGGTTAATACCACTCTTCTTGTTTTGTACAAAGAAGCCAACTTGCAGCAAAACTCCAGAGGCATTTCTACAATCCCTCAGTCACAAATGTTTGTTTCTACTCTATCCGCTATCCATTCAGTTTAACCAAGAAAAGATGGTCTTTTAAGAAGAGGTGCTTCCCTGCCTTTGTGGGCCTCTTGTGGGCCTAAAGCCCATACTTACATGTGTAAAATTAACAATGAGCCAGAGAAGCCTGTGGACTATCAGCTGGCTATTCCTCTAGGAACTGCGCCTACATACTAAGTATCATGAAAAAGTAATACCAAGTAAAGTTTAAAAAGAAAAAAAATTTCCTTTCAGGGAGCAAAGTAGAAACTGGGGAAGGAGAGAGAAAAGAAGGGAGAAATTATATGTATGGCTGCTGACTCCAAAACGTTCAGAAGGATTCAAATGAATCATTACTTATGACTTCCAGAACAGGGCTCTGATTAGACTAATCATCCTATGGGAACTCTTATTCCTGCCTCTCAACATCTGAAAGCTCTCTGGCTGTCTAGTTTAAATTATTTCTTCAGCAATAAACAAATGTCTTCTAGAGACTCATCTCTTAAGCCACAAACACACACACATGTACCTTGTCACACAACACTCCCACACAAGGAAAGTGAAATTGCTGTTTGATGAATGCAAATTCCTGGGTGTTTCCAGGAGTTTGAGTTCTGCCAAGTGTAAGTAACTAAGAAGGGGAGGTTGGCCCCAGGGGTTACCCTGACCTGAGGCTGAGAACCTTATTTGGTGAAGCTACTACCTACTCTCTGAGTCTGATAGCATTGAATCACAGCAGGGGAAGCGGTGGCCGCTGACGTTCCAGGCCAAAGGGATGAATGGAATTCCAGGCAGCTGGAGTCATGCTGGCTTGGGACAGTGGCTTAGAGACCAAACTTCCAATGACAGAAACATTGGCAACAGCTCTTATGGCAATATGTGCATCCACAGAAAATGTAACCCACACCTCGGCTTCAGGAGCTGAAAAATGAAAAGAACGTTTAGCGAGGGAAAGGGGAAATATAATGATAGGCAGAGGATAATTTATTACTCTATGGTTCTGGTTCTGTAAATAGTTTTAAGAATCTGAAGCCAAATGGTTCTGCAAATTCTCCAACCAGAAGTCACGTTAAGAAGCACGAGTGGACACTAAAGCTGTTTTTCAAGACATAATTTCACTTCTGGCTTGAAGGAACTGGATACAAAAAAATGTCCTTAAAATTCCTGACTAGAAAGACAGGGTCCCCTCATCAGAATTCGCATACCGCCCCCAAGCGGCAAACTGTGGAACCGCTGTAACAATTTGGAGCAGAGTTTCGCAGGGACCCCAGCTGCTGCGGCGGGAAGTGTGCGCCTAAAGACAGTGTAGACGCGTGCTGGGCACGCCGTCCCTGCAGTCTGAGGGCGACCCCGCACTCACTCCCCTTAGTGGGTCAGGCCCGGGCCGGTGGTCTCTCCACCACACCTGGATAGGTGGAGGCGGGTCGACAAGTATCTAAGAGACACTTGTTTTAACGACTGGTTCTTTCTTGGTACCATTCACTCGCAGGTACTTTTTTGTTGTTGTTAACTGGCTCCATCTCCAAGCCGAGACATCCACCCCTCAACTATCGCCCAGGCATTCCAAGAAATAAATTTGCTTGGAAGTTCCCCTAAGAGTCCTGGGTGGGTCGCCAAAGCCCCGTCACTGCTAGGAATGGTCACACTTAACGAAAGGGACCCGCATGACGCAACAGCGCCCAGAGAAGTCGCGGTGCCCTCCTCGATCCTCCCTCCCTTCCTAGTTCCCCCTCTCCCTACTCTTCACTTTGGAGCTGGCAAGTTGTGGGCCAGCCAGGCATTGGGGGGCGGGGGGAGGTCGAGGGGCGGAGAGGAGCTCAGACTGGCCCTCCTCCGCTTCCTGCCCGGCAGCCGCCCATTGGCCAGAGGAATCACCGGGAGCGCGCGGACCCTTTATAAAAGCCCGCGGCTCCTCAGCTTCGGCAGTCACAGCACCCAAGCCAGGCGCAGATCTCGGGGCTCCTTCGAGCTTACTTGGTACAGTCTCCCGCTTCTTCTTCTTCAACGGGCGCACCGCCCCGTTCGCCCCAGCGACTCTCCAGGCCTCTCTTTGCGCCTCTACTCCGGGCCGCTGCAGCCGCGTTCGCACAGGTAAGCACACCTCATGGCTCTGGACCACTGCTGAGGACCTGTGCTCCCTAAAGCTTCGGACAGCCCCTCGAGGACCCTCAGATCTCTTTCTTTCTCCCTTCGCCATCCTCATGCTCTCCCGCCTGGCCTCTGGAGAGCTCTTTGGGGGATTCCAGAGTTATCCTTTCCAGCCTTAGGGTTCACAACCCAATTCTGGCAGGACACCCCAAGATTTCCTGCTATTCTTTAAACCTTTATATCATTCCTGTAACGAAGCCTGCTTTCCTGGTGCCCTCTGGGCTCTCTAAACTACCTTTATTGGCCTTGCTTTTTCCTCTCAACTTGCCAAGAAAAAGCCCCCAGATTGTTGTTCATTGTCCCCCAAACTTTTAAAACCACGCCCCTCGCCCTCTCCCATTTTCTTCCTGAGTCCCTTAGAAAACTAATTACTGCAGTGCCTCATTCCATCAAGTGGGGCCAAAGAGGGATCCCCAAGTTGTTTAGCCCTAAACCCAGCCCCCACTCATTGCCCACACTCCCTGCTGTGGCTCTGACTCTGGCTCTTTGCTTCTTGCTGCAGGCTCCTTGCTGGGCACCAACAGCTCCACCATGGGGCTGGCCTGGGGACTTGGTGTTGTGCTCCTATTGCAAGTGTGTGGCACCAGCCGAATTCCAGGTGAGTCTGTAATAACTTCTAGTGTAGGAGGTGCTGCTTCACAGGTGTTCCAGACCAAACTTGAATTCTTAAGGATGCCCCCCTTTTCCAGCTGTTTTCCCCTGAGCCCCCAGCCCCGATAGGTCCCCAGGCAACAAAGCTCATTGTGTATCCTGCTCCTATCTAACAGAGTCTGGGGGAGACAACAGTGTGGTGTTTGACATCTTTGAACTCACCGGAGCTGCCCGCAAGGGCTCCGGGCGCCGACTGGTGAAGGGCCCTGACCCCTCCAGCCCAGCTTTCCGCATTGAGGATGCCAACCTGATCCCCCCTGTGCCTGATGACAAGTTCCATGACCTAGTGGACGCCGTGCGGGCGGAGAAAGGGTTCCTCCTCCTGGCCTCCCTGCGACAGATGAAGAAGACCCGGGGCACACTGCTGGCTTTGGAGAGCAAAGACCACTCTGGTCAGATCTTCAGCGTGGTCTCCAATGGCAAGGCGGGCACCCTGGACCTGAGTCTAAGTGTGCAGGGGCAGCAGCACGTGGTGTCAGTGGAGGATGCACTCTTGGCAACTGGCCACTGGAAGAGCATCACCCTGTTTGTTCAGGAGGACAGGGCCCAGCTCTACATTGACTGTGAGAAGATGCAAAATGCCGAGCTAGTGGTCCCCATTCAGAGCATCTTCACCAGGGACCTGGCCAATGTTGCCAGACTCCGCATCGCAAAGGGAGACGTCAATGACAATTTCCAGGTGAGGCCCCTCCTCTGAATCCCTGGTCCCTGGGTTTTTCTGCTAGCCATTTGATCTGTCAGCTGGAGGAGGGGCTTCAGTGTAGGAAATTTTATCTATAGACTTAGAACAGTGGTTCTCAAACTTTAGGGAGCTTCAGAATCACCCAAAAGGCTTGTTAAAGGTTTTGATTCATTGGTCTGCAGTGGGGCGTGAGACTTTGCGTTTCTAACAAGTTCCAGGTGATGTTGATGTGGCTGTTGGCAGACTGGGGCCACTTTGAAAACCACTAAAGGAAACAAGAAATGGTTTTTCTACAACTCTCAGCCTATTAAAGCCATAAATACTCCCTATTTAAAATGCAGTCTACACCAACGTTAATACTGCTTGAAAGTGATATTTTATATGCACAGGATAAATACGACTTGGCTATTTGATTCCTTGTGGGGATGCAGCCCGTCTCAAAAGATTAAATGGAAGATGTGGTTGTGTGCTGCTGGAGTTTCTTGCCTCAACTTTTAGATCTTTGCAAGTGTGGTTTTGAAACTCCCACATTTAACTCTTTGACACTTGAGAGTGTCATGGTAGCCTCTAGACTTAGTATCAGATTCCCTTCCCTGCGTACCCAATGGACTGGTAACTGAATTCTTTGTAAAATACTGAAGACTTGGCAGAAGACACAATCAAGATTCTGAAGTTGCTTGAAAGTTCATATTGGTGTGTTGTTTGGTTTGGTGATCTCAAGACGGAGCTCTGACTTTTAGAGCATCTATTGTGTGCTTTTCCTAGCATAGCAAGACTGTGGTCGTCCCTTCCCCCACACTTACAAGTGATGTGTGTTCACTGTCCACAGGGGGTGCTGCAGAATGTGAGGTTTGTCTTTGGAACCACACCAGAAGACATCCTCAGGAACAAAGGCTGCTCCAGCTGTGAGTACTGTCTGTTTTTAGCCTATATGAAGAAAAAGCAGTGGTGATTGTGCATGATTCCCTCCCCCTGGGTAATGTGGTTGCTAGGTGTACTAAAGTAACCTCAAAGGCTATTCCACTTGTATGCATATCTTGGCCCCAAAGGAAGTGTCTTTTAATGGCTAAGAATTCTAGGGACTGGTTGGAGAGGCTATTTCTTGATGGTCTATTACCTTTTGTTACTTGGCAGCTACCAATGTTCTCCTCACGCTCGACAACAACGTGGTGAATGGTTCCAGCCCTGCCATCCGCACCAACTACATTGGCCACAAAACTAAAGATCTGCAGGCCCTTTGCGGCATCTCCTGTGATGAGCTGTCCAGCATGGTCCTGGAACTTAAGGGTCTGCGCACCATTGTGACTACACTTCAGGACAGCATCCGCAAAGTGGTCAGTGGCCTCTGCTCCCAGGCCCTGAGCGTAAATCCTTGAAGGGTTATCACTGTTCACCTCAAATGCCTGAAAAGGAGGTTCTGCACTAATGACCTTCCTCCTGCCTTTAGAGTGAAGAGAATCAGGAGTTGTTCAAGGAGCTGAGGAAGTCCCCTTTCTGCTATCACAATGGAGTTCAGCACCAGAACGGCGCTGTGTGGATTGTGGATAGCTGCACCGAGTGTCACTGTCAGGTAAGGGATCTTTACAACTGGAAATGAGAATGGATGGCATGCATTTGAAGCCATAATCTGTAGGAAAATAGCCCAATGGGTACACAAGTTCTTTTTATGTTCACTGACTAACCAAAGTGAGCTGCTTTTGTTTTGTTGTTTATTAAGATGTAATTAAAATGTCTAAAACCTTTAGAAGGTTTTTT